ACAATGGAGATATATCAAGTAAAGCTTAGTTTCATCTCTTTCCCTCCAAACCCACCACATAACCACATTCATCCAAAACCACTGACCTTAACTCATGCACGCCTATACAGTGGGTACTATCAAAGTTTTATCTCCTTCCGTATCCACCTACCAAACCATCATTTCTCACCTCTTTTCCCATCTGCGTGGTGACAAAAAAAAATGTTTAGCACTTCTCCCAATCATATAGCCAACATAACCACTTCTACCTTCTCTTCTCTTTACCAAATTGTTGGTAAGCAAGAACTTTCCTTCCCCCTTGTCCTAAATACAGGGTCACTGAAACATCTTTCACCATATAATTATTTGAGTTTTTGGACATTATCCAGCATCCTGTTTTTTATTTAAAAACCACATTTCAGAGACTGGATTTTGTCTCTGTCCTCAGATAAAAGCCTACTCATTTTGGCCCAGCTGAGTAAGCTTTTACTGGAGGATGGAGACAGAATCCAGCATCCAAAGCGTTTTTAAATAAAAAAAAAAAAAGGATTATGGATAATGCCCAAAGTCAATAACTCTATTAACATACAATCACCACAAACTTCTGGATTTTATCTTTCATCATCTGAGATTACCTGGTCACCAAACATTCATCACCACCACCCATTAACAGTGTGGCTGCCAAAACATTCTCATCACCTCTCTTCAGGTTCACCTGGTTGCCAAAACATTTTTCAGCACCTCCTTTCATTAATCACACATTGCTGCCCAATGGATAGCAGCCTGCTCCTGTTTCATCCAATCTCTTACTGTCCACTTACATATCTATATAAGAGCTGTAATATACACCACCCCCCCCCCCCACATACCAACACACAACACACGATCAACACACCAATAGAAAGAACNCCCCCCCCCCCACAAGTCACAAACCATGAACAAGTGTTCACCAAAATGGAAAATCTTCCACACTCTGCATGGCACATTCCCAAAAGGTGAAGTCATATATTAAGCTCCAGTTGTGAAACCCTAGACAAGACTGGACATCAAATGTGTTTCATTTTTCTCTGCAACTTTGTTATAATCTACATTTACTGATTTCTGTCAAACATTTGCAAAGAAATGCAGGTGTGTTTTCACATAAAGTACTAGTTATTTTTGTCCACTTGCAACCAAAAAAAAAATGGAACGTGTTGGAATATTCTATTAGAACTCCTAAATACTAAATTTTATGAAAATTCATTCACAAGTTTCTAAGTTGTGTCATATATACAGACAAATAACGGATGGAGCAGACGAAATAGGTGTTCTGCAGGGATGTGAACATGCATAAAAAGGGTGACATATTTTACATGGTTACTTGACACAATATAGCTTCATTTACAGAATTTATTTAAAAACAAACAATGCAGAGCACGAATTTACATGGCCAAATCGGATAGAGAGCGTGGATCTTGGTATTTGTAAGGCATTTCCCTTCAGTGTGAAAGTTCATGTGTCAACAATATCCCATACAAAGAGTATTATCTTCTGGGATGTGATGCCATGTGTCTGGTAGAAATTTATCAAAATTCCTCTGAAATGCTGGTAAATTTCTACCAGGAGAGAACTCAAGATTCAAAACAACCAATATACATCTATTTGAGCTTTTAAGGGCTTACATCTTATTCTAGGTTGCTAAGTTGCCAACAATTGAAGAGTAATAATGTAATATCTGCTGACCATCCCAAAGAGTGAAGCTAGGCAACCGCTCTGATCCACCAGTGACACCGCTGCTCTCTAAGTTACAGCTGGTTCCATAAAGAATTTGTTTCCTCAATTAGTATCATATTTACTCAGATAATTTATATACTTTTCGATTTTCAAAATCATGTCTGAATATTATTCCATGTAATAATCTGAACACTACTTTATACATTAGATTGAGGCAATTACAGCTGAATGCAACATGGTTACACAGTATGGACATTTTACCCCACAGTCTCCACCATGCGATTGCATGATGAACCTTGATAAAATTTTGACTGACTTATAATTTTCAAGAAAGATTCAAGAACAGCTGAATGCAAGGTGACTACAAAGCATTTGCATCTATGGACTCCACCATGTGATTCACTGATTAACACCGAAATAAAAATTCCCCTTCATAAAATTCTGACACATTCATAATTTTCACAGAAAATTATTAAAATTCCACATATAATTTTGCTATAATACATTTTCTGTGCCAATTACACACTGATCAACATCTTCCCTCCCAAACTTGTCTCAAAGTACAGTATGTAAATTATGGAGAAGTACGCAAATAAATATTGTAATACAAATGAGTTTATTTCAGCATGAAAGTTTAATAATACTGATCATCAGAGAAATCAGTCAATCTGAAGATGTTCTGTGCTAAAGACTGCCAAGAACAAATTAGTTGGCTCCTTGTTAGATTACAGTATATAGTAACTTCTTCAAATAGGCAATTCAGATCCATATTGATGACTGAAAGGAGCATTTGTTTACAAAATGTTAGAAAATCATCCCACCAAAACATGGAATCATCATGTTAAATTTTATCAAAGCTCCCTGACAGCCAATGAAGTCTCAGACATTCCTTTTCATCTATGTCGCTGTGGAACTATCTCTGAAAACAGTTTCTTCCTCACTATGATTAATGTGTATCTTACCAATTACTTGCATTTAAAAAAGCTCTGCTGCCACATCTCAAAATCATCAAAATGGTGTCTGTGAACATTTCTATTTACAAAGCTTATGGAAAATAAATCTATTTAAGGGCCTGAGGTGGTTTTCACAGTGGCAGTTATGAAGAGTTCCCTCTTCTGTGATATAATGCCTTGTAGTCCATTGAAAGTCAACTGACATGCTTCCTGGAAATGACAATTGACTTTCAATAGACTACATGGCACTATATCCCAGAAGATAGACTCTTCAGATCTATTCAAGGCAAGTGCAGTAATGGCTAACACCTTCTGTAATATGAGGGTAAGTCAATAAGTAAGTTACAAATGGATATAGAACTTAAATAAGAGTACTAATTTGAAAAATGCTTTTATTTCTCAACATAATTTCCTTGTACATTGAGGAACTTGTCCCATCGGTCCACAAGCCCCTGAAAACCAGCAGCATAAAATTCTTTGGGCTGCTGTTTGAACCAGGCGTGTTCACATTGCATGGCCTACCTCACAATGCATGACAGGTTAGGTTTTCACAAAGTCTGTGCACGATGGGTGTCGCGCATGCTGACCCCACAACACAAAATGCAAAGAATGGGTCTGGCATTACAGCATCTCAATCGCTACCACGATGAAGGACATGATATGCCAGCCCGAATTGTCACAGGTGATGAGTCTTGGGTTCGCCATTACCAGCCCGAGACAAAGCGTGTGTGGGAACATCCCACATTATCACGCATTTCTGCAACACTCGCTATTCAGCTCCCTTTTCACCATCACGTGCGCTAACCAATCACATTGCTTCAAACAGTTCACTATTGTTATTATCCGTCTGTGTATACTGTGCAGCTGCAATAAATCCTATAGGACAGTTCAACTAGTGGTTGTCTCTTCATATGACATCCCACATGTGCATCAATGCAGTGGAAACATCCTGCATCACCTGCCAAAAAAAGTTTAAGGTGACACCATCCTCCAGGAAAGTGATGCTCACAGCTTTCTGGGATCATGAAGGCACACTGCTCACTGCATTCCAGCCTCAAGGACAAACCATAAATGCCGACTCCTACTGCAACATCCTCAGGAAACTTCGTAAGGCCATTCAACGGAAGGATGCAACCTGTCATGCATTATGAGGTATGCCATGCCGTGTGAACACGCCTGGTTCCGACAGCAGCCCAAAGAATTTTATGCTGCTGGTTTTCAGGGCCAAGTGAAACGATGGGACAAGTGCCTCGATGTACAGGGAGATTACGTTGAGAAATAAAAACATTTTTCAAATCAGAACTCTTATTTGTTTAAGATCTATATCCATGTGTAACTTACTTATTGACTTACCTACATATTTCTAAAAAAAACTAACAGCATCTCTTCCCCAATTTTCCATGCAAAATCTGATGTATCACCAACAACTCCATACCCAGCCTACTTCTTCATACTTCCATTAATTTCGATAAATCCAGATTTTCTGTGTTATAATTATATGACAACTATATGTAAACTACGATCTGTATACGTGGCATAAATACCAGCATACAGTTTCTAAACACCTATCTACCTCAAATAGTCTCTAAATTGTATTACACGCACACATAGCTCTATGATACATGTATCAAGTCTTCTGTAATACAGGAATAACTGAAAGAAACAGAGAAAAAAGAAGGAAAGAAAGAGAGAAAGAAATGGGGTTACCTCATACATTATTACCAGCCTCTGCTGTTTTCAGTAAATTACCAGACCTTCACAGACACACTAGTCTTTGGAGCATGGATAAGACAAGCGATAATAAACAGCATCAAGTTCCACACTCAAGCATCTCTGCATGAAGGTTATGTATAGAAAGACTACATGCAACAAAGCCATCAGTATCAAGCTTAGTAGGCATGCTCAGATTGATGAACTGTATGGCAACTCTTCAAAACATCTGCCAAACTTAGGAAAAAAACATATTTGAATAGGTCAGAAGTAGCGTAAATTATCACATAACTGTAATATAGCAGATTAGGAAAGCAGCATCTATTTTACAAAGACATTGAGAGTAAAGATGAAAATACTGGTTCTGAATAAGCAATTAATGGCAAACATCTTGTTCTACCTATTTGTAGTACATGTATTCTTAAACATAAATCAACGTGTATTTAATGTACTTGGTATTCTCTTGACAGATGCCACTAAACCTTCCTGCATTCAGCAAATTCCAGGGGTATAATAAATATAGCAGACTTTGAATTACAAGGCTCATAAACGTTCAAAATTTGAGCATAGTCAGATCTGGCCTAATCTATTTCCTAAATATTGTGTGCTCATATGTAAGACATCAACTAAAAGAAAACCAGCCTATTGAAAAACATATTCAAATATCATTCGTAAATGTCATACACTCAGCTGAGAACAGCAGTTACAAACAACTCATACAGAAATTTAAAGAACAGCAAAGTGGACCAGAAATGACACTTAACACTTGACACAATTCCCATGGTATCAATTTGATGTTATGTCTGGTTCAAATGCTTTCCCACAACCACTTGGAATAGACCTGCAAACAAGCACATTCCAAGTGTTCATAGTCTGCATTTATTGCTATGCCACTGCTACACTATTAAGAACTGGTTCCACTCTCTTTCCTTCAAAATTAACTAATTAAATCAATATTATTATGCATGTTCATACTCCTAATTCAGACAAAGTTATAGCGTACATATGATTAACTTTGACTGATATAATTACTGGAACACAAGTATCAGCTCACTTTGCACATGTTCACGTTACAGGTTTCAGTGAAAAGGATAATTTTGGTCGAGAGTTATTCTTTCCAAGAATCTTTTTCTGTTCTTCTTTAACTCGTTTCTCCTGCTCTTTTCTCAGCCTCTGCCTCTCTTCTTCCATCTTTCTCTGCTCTTCCACCATTGCCAATCTTTCTTCCGCCTTCATAAAACAAAAGTCATAAATTCCTTGTTGATACTACTTACAATTAATGTGCTAGTATATTTTTAACAAATACTCATTTGAGACACAATGGTACAATGAGAGTAACAGGTAAAATTATGTCGTGTGGTAATGAATTATATATCTGTGATGACCATGTCAAAGATTAATTTCATGTTCATTCTTTCTTTAGAGTGACTGAAAACCCCCTTTTCAAAGGGTAAGGAGGAAGGGAAACAGATGTGAGACAAGACGAGTTTAAACTGGAGTGTGTAATACATATGATGAAAAAAAAAAACTGGTAACAAGAAATTCAAATGAAGGGTTGACATAATTACCAGCTTTTTCTGGGCTTCTTCAATTTTTCTGTTGTTTTCTGCCATGATCTGCTCGAGTTCTTCTCGTTTCTTTCTTTCTTCTTCCTACAAAAATAAGTAACCATGTTAATAAAAGGCAAACAAACGGTTTTATTCATGCACTACAAGCACCAGCTGATTCCAGCATAAGTCGAGGATAAAACGCATGTTGGTACGTCACAATTACCACAGTCTGGGGAAAAAGATCAAATGTAATAACTCTTCTTTGAAGCATCATTTACACTAATTCTGTTAATCAAAACAGACGATAAATATTGTTCTGATGAGGATGAAGTAGAAACTGACATTCTATAGATCCCTTACCAGCAGACTCGTTAGTGAGATGGCATACAGTGTAGACGTAAGATGTTGGATGACCTTGGGGACAGAAGAGGATATTCTCATTTGAAGGAGAAAGTTTGAGATCGCATTAAGTGGAGGAACTGTTTTGGAAGAAACTGTGGACCTGTCATTTGACAGATTACTGATGAATGAATGAATACAGTGTAAATGTTACTTCAATGCTGCCTATTGAGCCAAGATTCTTCACCACGACCCAGTGCAAGCACTCAGACCACAAGCACACAAAATCTTCTTCCCTCCATTCAGGAACAAAATGATAAACAGAGGCATAATGGTATTGTTAAGTCAGATTTCGTTAACAGGCTCAGTATACTAAAAGTGTCCCTTCCAATGTCTGGATGGACCATACGTTCCTGCCACCATATCAATATACTATTAATCTTTCCCATTTTTTTCCCCACTGTGTACTGTGCACAGACTATAAATTGTGCTGAGATACAGGTAACGCCATCCCTGTAACAGACCATGGAGGCCCATAGGCTTGTGAGAAGTCGAGGCTCCCACATTTTCTAGACAACTGTCTCACAGATGGCAGTGAGGTTGTCAACCCTATGCTCCAGCTTTCCTTTACCCCTCAGTAAGATTCCTGGTACTCATTTCTGTTAGAGGCTGCGTTGACCCCAGGGCCATAGTGCAGCCGGAAGGATTAGGTTAACTGAAAAATCCAATGACCTCATCAGGAATCAAACCCCACAACCTTCTGGCTTGTAGCATAGTGCCTCAACCAACTATGCTACAGCATGCCTCCACCATAATAAGAGGCTCACTATATAAAATATAACTACAGTAGAACTTGGTTATAACATCATCAAAGGGACCTAAAAATAGTGTCGTTATAAACGAATGTCGTTGTAACCGAAATGGGCACTTCCACAGTAGCCTTATGTTAGTCACGTAAAAATCTACCAAAAACCGAGTTAAAATGTTGCATTTTTTAGTGAAATACGTAGTTAAGTACAGACTAACGTAACATTAACGTGGAATTGCCCAAATGTGTAATATCAAAGACATATTACAGCGCTTTTCACTGACAATACACACAATATTTCACGAATCACTTTAACTTTCTCTTCAATGCTTAAAACTTTCCTTTTCATTGCCATATTTTCGCTACTGCACTTCTCTGGGTTTAGGCAGGAACACTATAGGGTAAGTAGACAATGTGAGGTCCTGTTACGCGAGATTCTAGGAAAGGAATGCAGTTAACAACCTGCCGCGTCCTCTTGCACTATTCACGCAGTCCCACCCCACACCCTTGTTTTCGCATAAAACCCACGCTCCTCTTGCAGCCCGCGGTCGTATTCTTCCAGGACAGTCACGTCAGCAAGTAGAGAAAGTGAGGGTGGGCAGATACATCGAACTTTCCCACGATATCAGAGAAATTCAGGAATTAAAATGATGTTACATACGAGGTTGATGCATTTGTGCATGTCGTACTAAGCAAGGTATAAAAACAGTTGCTTTATGAGGAATTAGTTCGTACCATTGAATATTTGATGCAATAGACAAGGTGTCACAGAAACCGATGTTGCTATAACCAAGTGTTACTGTACTTGATTACCCAAAAAACTGGACAACCTTATCAAAAATAAGAGGAAGCTCACCAAAATCCTAACTGATGACAGTCAACATACTACATACAAAATTTGATTTTAAAATTTTCACTGTATGCCAGATAGCAAATCAGATTACATTATCACCATACCTTTATTGTAAGTTCAAACACATCACTAATGAAAGAGTGAGCGTACTTCCATCCAGCATGAGCTATGCCCCATATGACTGATTATCAACAGCAGCAATAAATTAAAGCACCAAAAACTTAAAACATGGAATAATGTTTTGCAGGAAGTATACAAAATACTTATATGCACTAACCAAGACAACACTTGAGAATATGAACATCTCAATTTTGTATCTAAAATTCTGATAAATGGATCAATACAAGATGTGGAGCAAATGGTGCCCACAATTCTTACAATTGGAAGGAACACATGCTGCAAATATGTCGATGATTAAAGCTATTCAAGATGGCATAACAACCTCACAAAGTAACTACACGTACATACATGTTGCCAGGCTGCCACTTCATCTGCTGTATAAAAATGTAGGCTATGGTAGGGCATAAGCTCCTACAATTTATAGTGCACACCAATCGGATTAGAAGTGAAGTGTCATAGTCTGGCACTTACTTACCAAATGATGTCAGCACATGTGTACTAGATGAGAGATCTAAGTGGCAACCCTGCAAATAATTCTTGGTAAAAAAACAAAGATAAAAATTGACATTGAAAGTATAAAAAATGGTGGATAATACCTTGTAGTGGCGGAGCCAAGACCTCTTCCTCCGCAAACTGTAAACTCAGCCTCAAATGCATTCTTTAGTACTAACGATGCAGTCTTCTTTCTACAGATGATGAACCTTACTTTGAGACTGACAGTCTCTGGACCCCCGAAAAAAATGTTTGTTAGCAGCCCCAGTTCATTAAACATGTTTTGACAAGGCTAAGGGAGAAGTAATTGCTAGGTGGTTCTAACAAATAAGGGGGGAAAAAGAATAAAGCTCACAAGAATGATATCTGGAATATTTTTATCAATTTAAAATGAAATTGTCTGAAAATAACTGAAGGAGATGCACAGGATAATGGTACATAAATATGATGGTATTTTGGCTTATATTATTTTTAGGGCCAAAACAATTATTCACTGATGTGAATATCATAATTTTCACAACATGTATAGTCCTATTAATACATGTATCACTAAGACTATATGAAATGTCAGTTCTTTCACATGATGTTTTGATGAATACATCCATTACACAAATTCATCTGATAACCTAATTTTGTCACCAACATTGCCATGCTCTATGAGTATCACTGTTGAAAGAAAGTAATACAGATGTAAACAATTTCAGACAAAATTGCTATAAGAACCAAATGTTTAAAAATCAATTTCATATATTACAATATGTCCATGTAACATATATGTTTCATATACATATACATATAGAGAGAGAGACAGAGAGAAAGATGTGATTACACCGTACAACTCTAATGAACACATATTTCAATAGAAATGTGCAGAATGTTCAGTTCATATCGTCTTATTTCTTCATGTTCAAGTTAGGGAGAACATATAATTTTTTAACTTTGTTGATGCATGTCTATAATCAGTTTCATGGGAATAATTCAGCTAAACAGCAATGGAACAGCAAACTGTAGTTTCAAAACATACAATTTTGAATGTCTTCCCATGAAACTGATATCAGCCCATCACACATTGCTCCACCCACCCACAACTCAACCCTAACAGAATTACCCTTCTGCCTTACCTCTCGCTTTTTCTCCTCTTCTAACTGTTGCTCTCTTCTCCTCTCCATTTCCTCCATCATTTGTCTCTCCATAATTTTTTTGGCTTCTTCAACCCTTCTAAGAACTTCAGCCTCAATTTCCTCCTTCCGCTTTTCTAATTCCTCTTCTACTCTCTTTTTTACCAGCTCTTCTATTCTTTTTGCCGTTTCTTCTTCTACCATTTTCTGTTCCAACTCTCTCTGCCTTCTGTGAATAAAACAGTACAATTAACTGAGTTAATTCAGACATATTACAATACATAAAAACAAGACACAAAAACATAACACAAAAAGGAACAAGTGTGTGTAACACATAATAACATATGATCTAGTAATCCTTGTTAGAAAAGAGTTTACAAAGAAATCTTTGTAACATTTATACTAAGCAAATTAACTGAAATTGCTAAAGCAAAAGTTTGATGCTGTGAGTATCACAAAACATTCAAGGATAGCATAGGAAGAATTAAACAGACAAGTACTCACACTTCTAGCACTAAGAAAATAGAGTAACTATAAATTTAGGCGGCACCATAGCTCAAGCGGTTAGTTGCTGGCTTTCCACTGCGGTGACCCGGGTTTGATCCCAGGTCTGGTCAAGTGGGATTTGTGGTGGACAAAGTGGTGCTGGGGCAGGTTTTCTCCGAGTACTTCGGTTTCCCCTGCCAATCTTCATTCCACCAACTGCTCCACAATCACCCTCACCTGTCATCTGGGGCTGGTACAATAGGCCAGAAGTAGCTGCAGTACAAGGGACTCAATCCCACCCTAATAGCAATAATAAAAAAAAACTATAAATTTCAGCTCCATATCAAAGATGAAGCTAACCCTCTTACTCCCATGTTCACAGCTACAGACTATGCAAAAACTGCTTCTTTCATAAAAATTAAGCAACACAACAGTCCTCTATGCCAAACATAAGAAAAATATCAGGTATTTTGCATGACTATGCCATCTTTTAAAACATGCATATATACATAAAACAATGACCTCTAAATGGCCAAAGTGAAACATAGCAGGCATCAACTCTGTTGTTAAGCCACAACAAAAGACTTCATTTTCAAAATAGTCAAGCATTTACATAAGGTTCTGTAAAGGAAAAATTTCCAAGTTTCACTGGATTGCATATTTTTCTCTATCTAAAACTACCCACAAGTACTTAAAAATCTGCAATAATTGCAATGTTACAAATATTTAAACATAATTATCATGTCAACCAGTCCCTTAAATATCTGAAAATGCTGTCATACCTCTGTCTTTCCATTTCTGCCAGCCTTTCAACTTCATCCATTTTTCTGTCATGGTAAGTCCTCTTCCTGGCATGTCCTGCTGCTCTGGTAGCTTCATCAGATATATCTGAACTACTACTTGATGAATTGGAATGTGATCGTTTCCTAAACAAAGTAAAGTACTATATAACTTATGTAATATATTATATTTTAGCATTCTTGCCTTGACATTATAGAAACATGGGAGTTGTAAAAGGAAAATAACACAGAACGGTGAGATTTATTCTCAAACAAACACATTTTAGTGTGAACAACGATATGCAATAGCATGGAAATATATTGACTTGCGACCTAGTGCAGTGCGACGGTTTAAGAAATGGAACAACTGCATGAAAATGGATAAGTAAGGATGAAACATGTAGCAGTTGACGTGTTCTTAACGTTATTTTAAATTAAAGGCAGATTGTGAACCGTTTTAAGTTGCATTAAATATGGAGGTGAATGAGTGAGTGATACAACTTAAGCGCTGTATTTACTATCCGCGAAAATTCAGGATTCAGGTTCAGGACCATCCACAGAAGAACGAACTGTGCTGAAAGTTGAGACACTAAATACGGCGCGGAAGAAATGATGTGAAAAAGGCAATAGAAACAAATTTCTTTCACATGAGCTATAACATGACCAAACCTAACCTAAACTAATATCACACTGCTGACCTCTTACTTTTTTTACTTCGATCTTCGACGTAATTTCTGGAACCAGGGACAGCCATATTTCCTACATGTACAGGCTAACAAAATATTAATTGATACAAGCAACTTGATCCAGTATATGGTGGTACAACTGTCGAAAAGTTCACATTTCTGAACTCTTTTAAGAAGCAAAGTAAATAACAGTTTGGTACAACAAAAGCACGCCAAATGACTGTACACTTAATGGCAATATACCTGTACCACGACAAACAGATCTGAATAGTTTATACATCTACGGGAGAAAATTAAAACCCACCTTAATTTGGCATTACGTTCTCTTGATTTTTCTCTGTGTTTACTGTGGCTACTTCTGTCACGAGATTTTGAACGTTTACGTGTATGTTTATTTTTATGTCGCCTTTTAGGGGATTTGCTTCTCGTTCTGGATCTACCCATATTATTGTCAATAATACGAAAATGTCACAGCAAAATAAATAAAGTAACAGTAACACTATCTCTTCACCAACATACAAACAACAGAGAAACGCATCAGCCTACCACAGCAACGAACAGACCACAACGTGATTGGGCTGCGTCAGAAAGACCTTCACAATGTTCACAATTAATAGTAGTCACAGATGGTCACAAAACAGAATATTCAGACATGTCTTTCAGTACTACACAATTTATACTGAATTGTAGTGCTGACTTAAACTTTGGTGCATAATATTTTTTGCACAGAAAATATCACCTCAATCTATGTCTATTTCGATATTAAATATCAAGGCTTTCATCTTTTACAACCGAACCGTTGAAGCCATTGGTATTGACAGGGTTCCATTAGTTTAGCCTATAACGCGTTTCAACACACGGATTAGTTATGAAGCTCGATTAAAGGATGGACAAGAAATTTGCAGTTTTCCCCGGTTTTCCCTGCAACCAGAAATTTAGTAATCCATGCTAGGATGGTACTACTCACGGATTAACCGCTACTATTCGAAGAAGTCGTTGGTCTCGCCTGACCGCGCGTCTGAAAAACTCCACTGCAAATAATACGGGACTCAAATGGACTCCACGCCGGAAGGGCGGAAAAATTCAGGGAACAAGTCCTCCGGGAGGGACTTTAAGCCTTGTGCCCCGCGTCGTAGATTTACGGCACGTAAAACAACCTCATGTCTCTAGGAGACCTCTGAGCTAAATTACAGGTCCTTTCCCGCCCAAGTAGTGTCCAATGCCTCTGGTGGATGGGGGAAGCATCAAGGTACCGAGGGCCGACCTCGTTGGCTCTACGGGGGCTGATGGCACGCACCGTTACCGGTAAGGTATGGCGACAGTAGAAATTAAAGGGGGACAGACAATGGACCAATAACTGGTTTAAGTGCATGGGGAAACCCACCCCCTCTCATAATACGAATACAAATAGTTAGAATAGAATAGAATATATGAGGGGTAGGCCTTCTCGGCCCTTGCACCGCGACCTTAGGTCTATTGTGCTTCCCCTTTTTTTAATTATTCCCTCAGCAACCCCACGCTTCGGATGAAGCGCAGGATCTTGGACGTGGGGGCATCAAAATAGTCACTTGGTTCCATGAAGTACTGACCCAAGTGACGTAATCTTAAATAAGCTAATGCCTCACATTCACACAGGACATGTGTGGCTGTTTCAACTTCTGACACCTCTCACAGGTGGGACTATCACTTAGTCCCAGTTTGAACAGGTGTCCTTTGAGGTGACAGTGTCCTGTAAGTAGTCCTACCACCAATCGTAGCTGATTCCTGTTGAGCTTCAACAGTTCCTTCGCTCTTTTAGCAGAAGGTCCTCGTATGAGTCCCTTTGCTTGCCTGAGTCCAGTTAAGGATTCCCAGTATTCCTTGTGTTTCATGTTAGTCCAGTCCCTGACTGCCTGTTTGGCAACTCCTAGAGAGCTGCCACAGGCTGGTTCAGGTCCTGTGAACGGGTGTTCAGCTCCAATTTTTGCTAATTGGTCTGCTGCTTCATTTCCAGCAATACCCTCATGCCCCGGCACCCATATCAGTTGTACCCTGTTATGTTTGGCCAGTTCCATGAGGGTTTGGTGGCAGTCCCAGACCAATTTTGAGTTGATCTGGTGTTTGTCAAGCGCTTTAAGTGCAGCTTGGCTGTCAGATAGAATGTAGATGTTCCTATTTCTATAGTTCCTATCTACATTCTCCATAATACATGCTTTAATGGCATATACTTCTGCCCGGAATACTGTCGTGTACCGCCCAAGGCGGAAACTTAAGTTTCCGCCTCGTGACATGGCAGTACACACCAGCTCCAGTGCCCTTATTAATCTTGGAACCATCTGTATACCAGATTAGTCCCCCTTTCTGTCGGGCTGAAAACCCTTTTCCCTTTTACTCCTGTCAGGAAATCTGACCGTGAAGGGTTTTTCATATACATGTCTAAGTATCATGTTGTCAGACCCCATTTGCAATATGGGTTCTTTATTCTTGTCTGAGTCATGTCTGCATGACCGAAACAATCAGAACTAGGTTTCCATCGTCCACTGCACTGGAGACGGTAAATTTCTGCCTTGGCCTCCGCATCCAACTGTATGTGCAGTGGGCGGAGTCCAAGAAGTATCTCCAGTGCAGCTGTTGGAGATGTTCGAAATGATCCTGTTATACCTAAGCAAGCCAACCTTTGCAATTTGCCAAGTTCTGTCTTGCTAGTCTTGAATTTAACTCTGGGCCACCATACTGTGACACCATAAGTAATTATGGGTCTCACAACCGCAGTGTATACCCAATGTACAACGTGTGGCTGTAGTCCCCAAGTTTTACCAAACATGCTTCTGCATGTCCAAAAAGCCTTATAGGCTTTGTTAATAACTTTGTCCAGCTGCTTTCTCCATGTCAGTCCCTTGTCTAATACTAGTCCAAGGTACTTGACATCGCTGGAGAGCTGGATTGTCTTATTGAAGAGAGTCGGTTCCTTAAGACCCTTTACATTTCTCTTCCTAGTAAACGGTATAATTACCGTCTTGTTGGGATTGATGGAAAGACCTGTTCTTTCACACCATCGTTGGACCATGTACAGAGCTGATTGAAGACGCTCTGATACGGTCGAAAGGAATTTTCCATTTATGAGGATTGCTATGTCATCAGCATATCCTACTGTATAATACCCATCATCATTAAGTCCCCACAGGAGATCGTCGATGACCAGACTCCACAGCAGAGGCGAGAGTACGCCCCCTGTGGACATCCCCTAGCCACGGACGCCCCCAGGGTCTCTTCCGATAATGTAGCAGCTATGGTTCTGCTTTCCAGCATAGCATTGATCCATCTGCATATTGCAGGCTCTATGCCATGCCTTCCAGCAGCCTGTTTGATTACATCAAATGAGGTCCTATCAAACGCTCCCTCTATATCAAGGAATGCTCCAAAGGCAATATCCTTGTGTTCAATTGCACTTTCTATGTGTGTTACCACATTGTGTAGTGCACTTTTGGTAGATTTACCTGTTTGGTAGGGGTGTAGGGGATATGTCCTCAATTCCCCGTCCCTAACATGCCTATCTACTAGTTTCTCCATCGTTTTCAAAAGGAAAGACAACAGGCTGATAGGACGATAAGCCTTAGCCTCGGTATAATCAAGTTTCCTGGACTTTGGAATAAACGTCACCTTAACTTGCCTCCAGGCTGTGGGGATGAAACCATATGCCAAGCAGGCTCTATATATGCGACATAGGTGTGGAACTAAAAGTTCTGCCCCATGCTGCAAAAGTGCCGGTACAATTCCATCTGTTCCTGCTGATTTAAATGGTTTAAAATTGTTCAGTGCCCATCTTATCTTTGATTGGTTAATTATGACTTTGGCCAGGTTCCAGTCTGCCCTGTTCATCTTGCTTTGGCAAGTGTCCAGGTTCTGCTGACCCTGCCCATCGTCCAAACTGTCAATCAATTTTGAATCAGGAAAGTGGACCCTGAATAATTCATTCAGCGTTTCCCTTCCTGTTTGAGTATACTGTCCGTTAGGCAGCTTAATTGTGCTGACCTTGTTGGTTGCCTGTTTTGCCATGATCCTCATGAGTCTGGCACCGCCTGGTACATCATTGATCTCCTGGCAGTGTCTTCTCCATGAGGATCGCTTGGCTTCCCTTATTTCTTTATTGTAACAGGTAAGGGCTTCCTTATAGGTGTCCCATTGCCCTGTTCTTTTAGCTGTATTAAACAGCCTTCTCGTTTTGGTTCTAAGCCCACTCAGCTGTTTATTCCACCAAGGCGCTCTCCTTGGTCCGCGAGTGGTCCTAGCCGGACAATTCTGATTAAAGGATGAGATAATAGCCCATTGCAACTGGTCAACAGACTGATCAACATCCTTTATTGTGCGTATACAAGTATTACGCGAAATGGCCTCTAGATTTACCTTTAGGTCGTCTTTATAAGACTCCCAATTGGTTCTCTTAGGATTCCTATAAGTAGTATGATCTACTGTGATGTTACTTATTTTAAAGCATATATATCTGTGATCTGATAGAGACGGCTCATCAGATACATGCCAGTTACTTACCAGGTTCCCTATATTATTTGTCCCTAGTGTCAAATCAATAACCTCCTTTCTATTGCAAACCACAAAGGTAGGTTTGTTACCATAGTTTAGAATATTCAGGTTCGAACTCACCAGAAATTCCATAAGGCTCTCTCCCCTTGGGTTAGTGCCGGTGCTCCCCCACAAGATGTGGTGTGCGCTGGCATCACACACAATGATGAGTTGCTTTTTCCTGCTAAAGCAGTAGTCTGTGTTGTCCCTCATTTCCTTAGTTGGTGGTGGTTCATCCGAGTCATATGGAAGGTAGACTGAAGCAACTATCAGCTCCCTGCTGCCTTCTCGATATGGATGTTATCCTTACCGCTGCTGTATCCCTTGAACAGAGCTCCAGTAAAGGCAAGGCATTAACATGATTCCTGATATAAACACAAGATCTTGCATTATTACTGGGTACAACAGAGTAAACTGTTCCCCCCTGTATTATTTAAGCCCCTTATTCGACCCTTGTATAACCAAGGTTCCTGAATAAGTGCTATGTCAGCCTTACCCTCAGCTAGATGTTGACACAGAGCTGCTGTGGTGTAGGTTCATTTGGAGAAATCTCATGATCTCTTCCAATTTTTTGGTTTTGAATCATTGGTTCATTCCTGCCTTTGGCTGAAATTACAACAGTAGGTTCGCCAGTTGCTTCTGAGCCCCTTAATGGTTCACCAGAGCTTCCAGCCCCTTGCTGAAGCATTTCTCGTAGGGATCCCCTTAAAGGGGGGTCCCTCTTAAGTTTAAGGTCCTTACGACCGGTTTTCTGTTAGGTCCCTTTTTTATTTTGGTCCCACGAGAAATGGGGATTTAAAAGGTCACCACCCACAGAGCCCCATAGGGGTGGAAGGCATAAATAAAACGGGGTGTTGCCAGGTGCCCCAAGGGGATTGTTTGTGACA